GATTGGTACTGGGGTGATTCTGTGCCTCCAAATGATTTTAACAGGAAAAGTTTCCTAACTTATAAGTTGATGTAAAACTGTTTGTTTTGGCCACATCAATTATGCTCTGTAGCAAACATATTGCCAACTACAGCATAGAGTAGCTCACTATATCAGTACAGTTCAAACCATGTAGCATGATGTAAAAATATTTTGTTAGACAATGTGAAACATCGAGAAGTTTTAATTATTATCAAACGTTATTGAACTCACCATTTTGAAACCAAAAAAACTTCAGAAAAAGATATATAGCCAACCACAGGAATCAACCCATTTAAAACTGAAACTCAGCTTCACACAAACATAAACTTGCTAGCATAAATGTTTGGCTGGTGAACTGGACCATTGAAGGTTGCTATCGAGCTGATTTTTTTTTTATCAGCAGCTCTGCAAATCTTTTTGATAAACATTACATTACCAAGACACTTGAAAACATACCTTTATCTTGGCTTTTGTCTATTCTTCCGCTTTCTTCTCCCTCTCCCTGAAGGATAGGTTATTTACCTACTGTGACCACCAGGGGATCCCCAAGAGCATTTTTTTTTTCTTTTTGCCCTTATAAAGAATAATTTCTACATACATCATCAAATATATATTTTGTAAAATCAAATCACAACTTTATAATGTAATGGTGTGTTTTTTTTATAATCACAAAGTACTAAAAAGAAACAAGAAAATCAGTTCCACTTAAGGGATCCCAGTGGCCCTAAGCAGCCACTTAGTTTGCTTATGCCTTGGGCCGGCCCTGCTGTGAGGTGTCCTATTTTGATTAAAATTCTATCTGCTAAAGTTTGCATTAGTTCATCTAAAAGTGGACTTAAATGCATTGTATTCTCAGCTCTGCTAGGTAGCTAACTGGCTAGCTTGCATTTTTGACTTACATTTTTAACATCATGGGTTTTGTGAAGACCCTGTGTTTAAGCTCGGGCCTGTAGTAGGAAGTTACTGGCAGGCTTATGGTTTGGTTTGTTACATCATCAGATTTGGATTAGCATCGTTTTCAAAAAACGGTTTGTTGATGGCATCATTTGCCATTGGAGTTTACTGAGGCAGTACAGAGCTCCTCTTGGACTTCTCACCTTGTAGATAGTTATAATAGATCTGTTGGATGAAAAGGTGGTGTTGCCAAGTTCTTTTTGGTGTAGACATAGGATGCCGAATGTACTGTCAAGGTAATATTGATGTATTTTATTTTTCTCAAGCATTTCACATGTGTTTTGAGTTGCCTCCACAACAAACCAGGATGTCCGTGAATCTCTCAATCACTTGACACGTTTATCCTTGCAGGATCGCAAAGGGGGGATGGTCCAGCGGTCAAAGAGCGGGAGGCAGGGTCAAACCAGGATGTATGTTGTAAAATTTAAGTGAAAATTTTTTTAAATACAACTTTTGTCATTTGGTAATTCTACTACTGCCACTACTGTATTTAGCCTGCAATTACAACTATTAAGAGATTCTAATTTTGATTGTGAAGAGCATAATTTTATTTAACCCCAACTTTTACCTGAGTTCTCCTTGTGTTGATCTCTCTACTATTACCCCTAATTTGAAGTGTTGTCAGACTTGGGAATAAAGATAAATTCAGTCATTAGTTTTGATAGCCATGCATTAAGAGGTAAAATCTTAATCACCCTAAATGTCTGTTTAAGGTTAAATTTTTATTTTTTAAGTGTGACTTGGAAATGCTGATCTGAGCATAAACATTAGAAATGTTGCTGATTAACACTTGCAACTCCGTATTGTGATTTAAAAAATAAAATAAAAGCAAAAAAAGAACTGAAGTTAGTAAAAATTTGTATCGTCTTATTTGGCTCAGCCCATGGATAAAGGTTCAGTTGCCGCACAGCTCACAAAACATTCAATTGTGATAAAGTTGGAGCTGGACGATATGGCTATAAAACTTATCACAATGTAACCTTTTCATATGTCTATTAATAATTGATTTGTTTTTTGTTTTTAAATATTTGAAGTACTGCCATGATCTTTCCTCTTTTGTCCAGTTTACTCTATGCCGTTATTTAGTGTTGAGCTCTTAAGAGGCAGGGTGGCAAAACTTAAACTGCTGATGTTTAAGTTACTCAACAAGTTGTTGCTAGGTAACCACAGTGAGTGAGTTAGTAGAGCAGCTAAAGTCTTTCCTCTGTCTACGGCCCCATTTACACGACAACAATTTCAGGTGAAAACGGAAGAGTTTTGTTGCGTTTGTAGTGTAAATTTACACGAAACCACCAAATGTTTTCTCTGACAATGGCACAGATTGAAAACGGGTTCCAGAGTGCGATGTTTCTGAAACGTACCGATGTCCGTTGTCGTGTAAACAGAGAAAATTGATCTTTTCTTCCAGAGAATCCCCAGCTAATGCATAGTATGACGTAAAACATAGCTGGTTCCTACAATCCACAGAAGAAGAAACTACTGACAATGCTGGTGTTACTACAATTCGTGTTTCCCCATCAGATACGGTTCCCTCGGCGTCTCTTCACCGCTCCGTTTAGGGGAAAAACTGTGCAAAGTTCTTTGCGTTTTGCTGGTTTGCTGCCATGATTCTAACACACCTGAGCAGCAGCAGGTCTCCTTCACTGCCACACAGATGGAAACCCAGCGCAAGGGTCTCAGCGTTCATGTGGCGTTTGAAGGCTGCTCGGAAAAACAGGTTACGACTTGTTAACAACGGATTAAACAGTTTTAACTGCTGAAAAAGGTGACAGAGGACACGAATATGGGAAGTGCGGAAGCCCCTACTGTATCAAATTGATATAGGAATAACAGAGAGTTGGCTATTGCAAGGTAAAAACAATAAACAGCTTCCAGTCCAAGGGGTGGGGGGGGATCAATGTCCCCCAATGGCCGCCCATGCTGCCGGGCCCACTACAGACACCGTGAAAGCTTAAACAAGGTGTTTCAGCAAAGTTATCCCACTTTTTTCAACTGCTTGCAACCTAATCAGACGCACATAGTGCGTGTTTTCTCCCAGTCTATGGGAGAACGGTACCTGATGGGGAAACGCAAATCGACGTGCCTTCAATTTCTTCAGTTTCAAAGAACCTAGCACCAACTAGGCGTGACAAGAGCATTACACGTTTTCGATGTGTACCGTTACTGTGTAAACAAAGATTGTAATTAGAACGTTTTCATGTAAATGATCCAACAAAAACGGAACAAAAATTCCGTTTTTGTTGGATCATTGTCGTGTAAACGCCCCCTACATCTCCCAGGATGCCATGGGGTTCTGGATCAGATTTTAGTGAATACTCTATATATTTAGTATTTTATCAGATATGTCATCTCTTGATATTGAGCTCACATCTATTGCAATATATATTATTGATTTATTCTTTAGCCCTATATAAAGTTTAGTACTTTGTCACCGATTTCAACAAGTGAAATTTGTGTAATATAGAGATTCATAATGCAATGAAATATTCCAAGCATGTCTTGTAATTTTAATGAATATGGGTTACAGATTATGAAAACCCAAAAATTCTGTCTATGTGGGTTTATTTTTATGCACTCGATACATGGTTGGACCTCCTTTTACATGAATTACTGCATCAATGCTGTGAGGCATGGAGTTCAGCTTGTGGTTCTGCTGAAGTATAAAATTGAAGTCTAAGTTGTTGCAGCTTTTAGATGATCTGCATCTTTGGTTCTGGTGTCTCATCTTCATCTTGACAATATCCTCTAGATTTTCTATGGGATCAGTGCAGTCTGCTTGTTAATCACGCACTGCAACACTATGGTCATTGAACCAGGATTTGGCACACTAGCATTGTGGGCTAGTACAGATTCCTGCAGCAAAATGTAAACAGCATCTCCATAAAACTTATCAGCAGAAGAAATTATGAAGTGCTCTAAAATTTTCTGGTAGACTATCTTCTTTTGTCACTTCGGCCTCTTCGATGTGTTTTGCTCGAAGATATGATTATCCCTGTTGCTAGTGCACATTTTCCACACTTTTTCCTTCCAGTTAATTTTGCATGATATGCACTACTTTTTTTGTTAAAGTTTTGTGGGTGTGCTCTCCGTAAGCCATAATCAATAATATTACAAGACATAAAGGCTCTATGTAATGAATTGGAGTCTCACTTTCAGAAATAAGGTAAAACATTATTGAACATTTCATCAATTAATGAAATGGAACAAGTTAACACACATTCACAAAATATTTTTAGACTGTAACTTTGAAGCACTTAATGAGAGTAAAGGAACAAAATGGATGAATATGAAACTTTGTAGCACTACCTGCATTGGGGTCCTTTAATTTCTCTTCAGACTTTCTCTTTTGGTAGTAAAATGACAAATACAAAACAGCCTGAGCAGTAAGCTTTCAGATTATAGTAGTAGGCAATCCTTTGCCCCATGCAGAAAAATTTGACTCCCATGCTCAACTTCCAGTTTAATCCAAACTTTTTACTGTCCTGCAATAAACCCTAATTTTTGATTGAGTAGAATAATTCTTGGATTAAAACCAAAGTGCAAGGGCTGTTCAATGTTTGTTAGATTATCTTAAACACTCTTCAGAAAGTTTTTACGTAGTGAAGAAGGAATTCAGTTCAATGCTTTGTTCACCGCTGAATAAATACAAATGACGTGTTTAGTTTTCTTTACTCTGTGGCAAAAAGTCCTGGAATAAGACTTGAGATATGTACCTGCGCAGCCCCCCTTCTACGTCCTTCTGAAGGTTCCCTCAGAAAGCCATAATTTTAGTTTTTCCCCCTGAACAGTGGCCTCAAATATCAAATCTTGAGTACCTAATTTTTTTTAGTAGCTTTCTCATCCTCTGGAACTTTTTTATACAGAAGTCGATCCTTTCTCTAGCTGCACAGAACACTGCCGGTTGCACGTACCCGAGAAAACCATGTGGGCGCAACAGAATTGCCTGTTTTGCTCATGTTAATTTTGACTAAAGGTGGAAAGCAGCTGTTTAATTTTGACCCCTGCCCCTCTACTGTCTGCCCTAGTGTTTAGACTCGTCAGTGGGGAAGAGGAAAAGAAGCTTGGCTGTTAGCTCTTCTCAGGACCCATCTTTCTCAGGATTAAACCAGGTGTGACATTTACCACAACACCCGCTGCCTCACTACAGCATTTGTTGCTTTGCTATTGTATGTTGGTTTTAATTGCATTGGTCCACAAGCTTCCATCATACCCTGGCATAGTACTGGAAACATGTATTCTGTCATCTTTTTGCTGTGTGAGAAGATTGGAGACTCCCATTAAAATTGTCATGTGTACTTATTATACTTTCCAGTTATTTTAGTCATTTCAAATTTGACTTCTTGTGTTCCGTAATGCCCAATTCATTTTGTTCTCATAATTTGCTTGGAATGCCTGATATAATATTTTATCCTTAGAGCTGAAGCAGTGGTAAACTTGAAAATGTACGAGGTTGCAAGTTGAATATACTAAGTTCATTGATTTCCTGCTTTTGGCAGTTTGATGATAAAACTATTATTTTGTGTTCATTATCTTCGATCTATGTAAAATCCCACTAGCTATTCTGGCTTTGCAGCTGAAGGACAAATCAATATACTCTTAAGGTATTAGTGTTTAAAGGTTGTCGCTGTCCACTCAACAGAGCCGCATAACTTTCTGGTAAAGTCCTTCTCAGAACAGTTAAGGCCATGTTGCACTTTTGGATGCCCTTCTTTGTCGCTTCAAACTGTCGGAAGTTTGTGATTTTGATATTGAAAATGTGACTTTTGGCTGGATTATGTTACCATGGTGACATGGACGCTCTGTTACATACATAATTCCATGGTTTTCGAATGAAGTTAATTTTCCTTATCCAACAGGAAGTCGGAATCATTTTTAGCTGATTTTAAAAACTGACTTTTTCAAGTTCTGCTGATATCATCTGTGTTGGCATAAAGGTATTGATATATTGGTGGTGCTAAAACCTTTGTCACAACAAGAAGGAGCTTGGCTGCGTCACATGAAGAATGATAGCTGACAGTGTGAATGCTGGAAGTTTAAAATGCCTTAAAATATCAAATATTCACTCATGGTTGTTTTCTGGGTATATAGACCCTCTATTTATTGATTTGCCACAACTGATTATATTGCTGGTTAAAAAGGAAACTCAACTGGTTTAAACTGAACTTTAATATTTATTAATATTTTGGACAAAAGTTCAAGGGTTAAGTTTGCAGACTAAGCCACATTGCATTGCTTGTTATATACAGTTAACTACCTAAATCCTGGCATAATAACTCTAGAGGTTAACCGATCCGATATAATCTCTATTAGTTCTAAAATCGAAAAAAATTATAGATTGGGCATTTGTGATGATGTGCCTGATCCCAAAGGGTAGAAGTATTTAGTCCAGTTTCATGTTTTGTGCTCTGAGCAACTTTATGCTTTATTTATTTTGTATTATATTTAGAATTCCAAATTGTATTTCCTGAACCATTTGAAATAATGTTTGTTGCAGATTATTTGTACATGTTTGACCAAAGCCAGGGTTTCCTCCAGAAATCCAGCTAAACCTGATGGTAAGAGCGCTTGGGCAGTCAACCAATGGTCAACTGTGGTTTTGTGAAATTTGTATAAATTTTTTTTAAAGTTGACAGGAAATGTAACAATATGACTAGGTAACTATATGTTATTGGAAGACAGTGACTATATTTAAACACATAACAATAGAACCCTTAAAACAAGCTACGCTGGTCACGTTCAGAGCCGGAATAAGTGGAATTGAATTTTAACAAAGACTATAGATCTAAAATTGAGAATGACAGTTCTATTAAATTTGATTTAATGATTGCATCAGAGAAATTTAAAATGATTAAATTGTTTTCCATTTAAATTTAAGACTTGTAAGGGGTTTGCAAGTTTACTTTGCAAACTGTAAAAATAAAATAAAATCTTCATAGTTTAGCCTTTTTGTTTAACCTTGGTTTGTTCACAGATGCATTCCAACCTACAATAATATTAAAGCAAATAATAACCCACAATGATATTCTTTGGGTAGGAAAATCATGTATTTCTTGCATGAAGTTTTCGTTTTGTAATGTCTGCTGCTTGATGCAGTATTTTGATTCGCTGGCTATTTACCCAAGGAAATTCAGTATTTGCCTGGAGTACTCTAAATGGAAAAGACCTGTCTGTGATTGCCAGGTGATATTATTCAATTACATTAACTTTATCAAGTTACAAGTGCAGACTTGGAGCCAAAAGCGTGCCAGGACATGTATTGAGTAAGTGGGATATTTAAACGCAGATGTCACACAATATTCTTTGCTCTCAAGGATATGCGTGGGCTGAGCTGTGTGGCTTTTACACTTGACAAGTTAAGAGGTGCACAACCAGATGCTCACACCTAGCTCAACGCAACGACAAACCCGTTGTTGTTATCACTTTTACAGATGTGTAAAAACATATTTAAAACAAACAAGCAATGCTTAGTTTGGTGAAGAGGGCCAGTAAAGTTGGGCAGCCCGCCTATAATACACTGAGGTAAAAACCCTGCAAGGTAGGCAATCTATTATCATTTTTTTCCTTTATTACAGTGACCGTTATAGTCCTAATTGCAATGACTGAACAATTTAAGTGCATGCATGTTTTTGCATGTTTGACCAAGCTGTAGAAGCTATTGGTGTAGTTAAGTGTGCTGTATTGGTGCAGAGTTAACAAAATAAAATTGTAATTCACTAGATTTGTCTAACAAAAAGGTTTTAAGACGATTCAGAAGTGTTGTTTTGTATCAAATTGGCATCAGCTGACACTAATCCTCACATATCTGCATTGAAAGTGAGAAAATGTATTGGTGCATCCCTAAGCTAAACCCTTCCCCTTCTAATGTAGAGCTGTCTATTTTCAGCTGCAGCTAAACAAAAGCCTCCCCCAGCTGATTTGCAGTGTTCTTTGCAGTGTCAGCAAAATCAGAGTACTTAGGGTGGAAAAACTATTACACAGATTCTTATTATGTCAGAAAGCGGAGACTGTTTCACAGTCCACACATGCTACAGGTCCATTCTTTGTCAGCCAAATAAGAGCACTTGTATATATCTTTAAACTTGAACTACAGGGGGTGCTGTGGTGGCGCAGGGGTAGAACAGAATCCACATATAGAGGCCTTAATCTGCAACGTGGACGTCACAGGTTCGAGTCCGGGCCTGTTGACCTTTCATATATGTAAGACATGCAAGACCCCTCTCTCATCACCCACCTTCCTGTCAATTCACTATCAAATAAAGGCCACTAGAACCAGCTGATAAAAACAACAACAACAAAAAAAGATACTGGAGTACGTAATAGGACTAATGAAACTGAATAGAACACCCTGTTCTTTAAAGCCCTGCACAGCTGACTGCAAATGCAGGATTTCCCCCAGTGTATTGTAGGCTGGGTGGGCCACCAGGTTTTACTTGCGTTCACCAGGCTAAGAATTGTTTATTTTTTGTCTATTTTTTTCAATACACCAGTAGTGGTAGCACAGGTGGGTTAAAGAGTTGGAAGCACAATGAGGTGTCTTTTATTGAGGCAGTGGAATTCTGCAGCCACTGCCTGTCTTTACTGGTCTACACACTAACAACTTCAGATAAAGGTGACAAGTCACGAATCAAGGATCACAAAATTGGAACTTTAATTAGGATGAAACCAAAGTTCCAAAGAATAGCTATTTTAATTGTATTTTTTGTTTGCCTTTTTCAAAAGACTTCAGAGTTGGTGTTCAGTTATTGTTAATGTCTTCCACTAATGCATAAATACCTCATACCTCTTTTGTTTTGTTTTTTTCCACTTCCCGTCATTAAATTGCAGGGGTAAAGCACAACGTGCAAACATTTTTTTAACTCAACCATAGGGTGCTGGATGACTGTCCTAGCGCCCTACTGCTGGGCTTAGCAAGTTTTCTGGGGGAAACCTGACATATAAAACAAATTAAAGAAGTTGCAATTACAGACTAGCAGAGGTGTTCTGCTAGTCTGTAATAGCCAATACATTCCCTTTGAAACTGAAAAATAAAAGTGAATGTAAAATATTTTCTCCAGTTAAGTGTTACCGTTACAGTCACAAAAATAAGGTTTGAGCATACAAAAGGGGAGATTCTCAGCAACTTCATCCTGCCACTACCATGTTTTTAAAGCTCCGTTCCTTGCTGGTGCCCTGAAGTTTGTCTGGTGTTGTTTTTTAGGGAAACTGCTGACACATGCAAAATCAGTGTGACAGAGCTGATATGCTTCTGACATCAGCGATGAGAGATCAGATGAGATCTGGTCAGGTTCACATTGATTGGCTCTTGGAGGAAAGGACTTGGCTCAACCAAGTAATGTTGTTCAGGGTATTGGATGCAAACTTAGCAAATGTGAAAGCCTCCACAACCAGACATGCATCCCCTATCGCTCCTCCTTATCCAAGGCGAGGTCGTGGAGGCTGCTACATGATTGGCTGATTCGACTTTTGCCTTAATGAGCAATTGGATAGGTGTACCTAATAAAGTGGCCGGTAAGTGTGCTTTCTCCAGGAAAGATGAGCGCTCTGGTGAGAAACAAGATGGTGACAAAAAGTTATGAAAATATTTTTGAAGTGTACCAGGTGAATTGCTGACTGTTAATTCTTGAAGAAAGGGTGGATTTCCTCCCCATGATGTGCATCCACAGCTTATGCAGACACACTAGACACCTGTGCAATAATTCAGCAGTGTTTTTGTGCATGTTTTGTATTTTTGTTGTTCAATTCAGTTTATTTATATAGCACCATTTCATGATTAGTATCTCAAATCACTTTATAAAAAAATTAAATTCATTCACGCATACATTACAATTGATCCTAGTTATCAAACAGTACACTATGCTCAATTAATTATTCAAAGTAGATTAAAAGGTCTCTATGTAACCCGGTAGAATGCATTAAGTCATTGGCTTGCAGCAATCACTCCTCCTGGACGATCACATTGTGATAATGGCTTGCATTGTCGTTGACTTTCCAGCAATCCCTCATACCGAGCATGCATGTAGTGTCAGTGGAGAGGAAAAACTCTTTAACAGGAAGAAACCTCCAGCAGAACCAGAACCTGGTTCAGTACAAATGGCCATCTGCCACTGTTGACTTGGCGTTTGAGAAGACAGAGCAGAATGCACAAGAAGAAACTGATGAACATCAGAAATAATCCTACATCAGTTTATCCGTTAATAACGGAAGAGGAAGAAAGATGAGTTGATGGCTGCATTATTTCAGCTAGACCAGATGTAGCTTCTATAGAAAGAAAACAAAAAGTTAACAGTTGAAATAACAGCAAGTGATGCATGTTGGATGGAGAGTAGTAGTAGAAGACGATGAGAAAAAGTGCTCAGTTTGTCCTCGAGTAGCCTCCTGATCCATATGCTTGCTAGGAACATATGGATCAGTCTGATGTATGATGAAGCTTGATGAAGGGATTTATATGCGAGAAGGGTAATCTTAAATTCTATTCTGTATTTGACAAGGAGCCTGTGAAGGGAAGACAAAACAGGAGGAATATGATTTCTTTAATTTTTGTCAAAAGTCTTGCTGCAGTGTTTTGGATCAGCTGAAGACTTTTAACTGTGTTTTGTGGACTTACAGTAACATTGACTAGTTTTTCAGCCTGACCCATGGATAGAAAATGTCTGTTTTCTGCAATATTCCGTAGATGGGTGAAAGAAGAAAATCTTTAAAACTTGTTTAGTAAGAGACGACATGTCCTAATCAAAAATAAGAGTTTCTTTATTATCGGAGGCCAATTTAATGCCATCCAGATCAGGTGATCGACTAAGTGGCTTCTTTTTCATAGATTCTGGTCCAAAAATAACTTCCGTCTTGCCAAAATTTTAAAGAAGAAAGTTTAGTGTCATCCAGATTTTAATGTCCTCGAGACATATTATTTGTAATTTTCAACTTTCATAGGTGCTGTTTCAGTGCTATGAAACTTAACTGAAACTAAATGAAAATGCCTCTTGTTAACAAAAACGTTTGCCAACCATTGATCTAGTGCTTTTTATAATGTACGCGGTCCACGTCGATGTCTTCATTTAAACTAGTTAACTGGTTCGCATTAAAGTTACTCTTAAATGTTGGCCTTTTAAATGATGTTGTACAGAAAAGGGCAGAGCTCTTGTCCCTGTGAAATTACTCTTACTATGTAAACCTGTTTTCAGTCGCAGAATGGGTGTAGGCCAGGAATCTTCAATCTGCAGCTCTGAACTCTTAACTTTTGCCAAAATGCTTATGAACTTAACAATATTTTAAAATATAGAGGTAATTTTTGTGTTTTCATGCATAGTAGTGTTTTCCACAAGCAATGACAATAATGGTCAATAACAGTTTTCAGCTGGCAAAAAATGGCTCTTTGAGTTGTAAGTGTTGCTAACTCCACAGTGCACAACTCCTCATTATATTGTACCCAACAGTTCAGGGTATAGTTTCAAAACAAACCTATAGCGATTGAACCAGTCCTTATCTTTGGCCAAAATACCTTTTGTCTCTAAAAACAGTCTTTGGAATTGCTCCATTTTAACCCAAATTTTGTTTCTTGATTTGTGTTAAATCAAGATGTTTACATCTTGATTTAACACAACCCTGAAGGAGGCCTCAAAACTGGTTGCATTGTGTATTCAAACATGAATTTGTATATTCTGCATTTTATTTTATACTAGTTGGTGTATAAATGTTTTCCAAGCGTTGGAGCAATGTTTAATTAGGTCTTGTACAGGGAAATGTGAAATCAGTTTTCTGAAATTTGCCCACTCTGCAACATGTTTTAAAAAATGATTGTTTCTGGTAGTGATGTTCTTATACCAGCATCAAGTACACATACTTGTAAAAGCAAGCCCATACTCCAAACCGATACCAGTTTTCTGTTTGTTTTTTTTCTGGGCTGGACTGCGGTGTAACTCAAACGCTAAACCACACTTCCAACCAGGTGGTTGTGGTAATACACCAGTAAGTTATTTCCTGATCCTCCAAAAAGAAGTTGGGTGGCAGGAGGTGTCAGTAATTTGGAGACAAGGTAGACAAAAACAAGCAGACTGCCCTCTGTGCTCAGCTAGGAGTGAAAAATAGCATAGATCAGACTTATTGCCTGATCTATGACCTATAATGGTGTCAACAGACTGAGCCTTTTGACATTGTCAGATTCCAGTCCAACACAACCAATTGATGTCAACTTGAAGTAAAACTTGATATGTGTTGCATTAACCAAATAGTATCTGTCCTTGATCAGTCTTTTTGAACGGTGGTGGTAAAATCTGAAGGCCATTTTGACAGGTTACACACACCTGACCACATAGTGCAGGTGTGCAGATGTTTTAAACTTTACTTATGGAGTACATTACGAAGGTAACTGAAATCAATTAATTTTAAATATAATGGTATCTTTTACAGCACAGTCTGGGCTGTCTCCCTTTGACTTGGATTTCTCCGGTAGAATTTTTACCAGGTTAATCAGTGAACAGAAGAAATGCTGAACAATGACGTTGATTTTCTGAGCCGTTTTAGAATTCTAGTGTGCCTGTAGTTTTAGCTAGCAGCAAGGGAAATGAACGAAGCCGTTCAGTTTGTGTTTGCTCCACTTCCAATGATTAAATTAACATCAACAGCCAATTCGCTCGGCTCTTCTCTCTTCACAGTGGAGGACAATTGTTTATAGTTCTGGCAATTTCCAGTAAGCTTCATAGCATTGAACTTGCGCATTACATGCGTCACGGACAAACGTACTTTTAAAACTTCAACACATTCCAACAATTGTTTCTCAGTGATCTGATGGCCCACTCCCTCTGGACAAAGGAAAGTATAATACAAGGGGCTGGTGACAGTCATTATCTGTGAAAGATCTGAATTATAAAATGTTTTCACTCGTCCATTTTTAATGTGTTAACTTTCATATTAGTGCTACTTGAGTCCTCGGTGACTAAAGACTGTATTCTCTCTCTTTCAGTTATTCCTTATTGACTTTGGTTTGGCAAAGAAGTACAGAGACAATCGAACACGACAACACATCCCCTACAGAGAAGACAAGAACCTGACAGGGACTGCACGCTATGCCTCCATCAACGCACATCTGGGCATTGAACAGAGGTGAATATCTATTACTTTACCTAACGGCTGTAATGTGATAAATTTGTCACATGGGATGTGATCAGATTCAGGACTATGGCTCTATTGACACAACACATGGAAGTTTCAGTTTAATTAGATTTATCTATATCGCTCTATTTCATGCCTGATAATTTTGCCAAGCAACTTTTTGAAGAAATGTATCCAATTCATATTGTATATTTTGTTCAATCCAGCGTTAGACACATCTAGAGTCAGTCGCATGAATTCCAGTTTATTCCTGAAACTCTACGAACCATGAGTAAACCCACAGTCTAAGAGCAAAGTGCTCTGTCTGTAACATATGGAACAGTCAGATCTCTACCATTCGGGAAAGATATATGTGATTAGAGACTTTTAAATTCTGTTCTCGGCTTAACAGGAAGTCTGTTGAGGAAAATTAAAATCAGAAGAAAATGTCTCTTTACACTCATGTCAGGTTTTTGACGTGAAGAGACAGTTAGTAGCAGTGGGAATCGAGTGATTCAGTTCTGATTTATGGGGCCATGATTCAATTCAAAATCGATTTTCAAGTCAGAACAAGTATTCATGATGATTTCTGCTTTAGTCAATGGGTGTGCGAAGAATCTTTGTGATCTACACCAGTCTGCTTTGCAAGGTAGAATTTAAAAGTGGAGACATTAAAGTGTTACATTTATTAAATTTAAAAATGAATCCATGTTTAAATGTAATTCCTCCCTCCCTGCATCCCCAGTTTGTACGCAGCTGGCATTGCTGTTTACATCCAGACATTTTTAGCCATTTGTCAGTATTGTAGTTATTTAGTGAACAATCTCAAAGTGTGTGTGTGTATGTATATATATATATATATATATATATATATATATATATATATGTGTGTATATGTATATGTATATATATATGTGTGTATGTGTATATGTATATGTATATATATGTGTATATGTGTATGTGTATATGTGTATATATATATATATATATATATATATATATATATATATATACCAGCATTACACTATCAGTTCAATTAGTTCAATCCAAGTCTGTCACCAATTAAATCTGTCCCTCTAAAATCTAAAAGTTCATTCAATACATGTGATTCAAATGTATTGAATCATATAGTTTTCTGAATATTGTGATATATATTGTATTGTGAGCAGAATATCGCGTATAGCATTGTATCGTGAGATTAGTGTATGGCTACAGCCCTGCTACGGATCATAGAGGTAGACTTTGCTTTCCCTTATCCATTTAGTATAAAACAGCAATTTACAGATGCTGTTTTTGTGAACCATGCGCGTATGGCCAGCATTTGTGAGTTCTAGATTTAGGCTGTTTTTGTGCAACAGCGACAAAACAGCCTAATGATGCGCGCAGGGGCACCGTAAAATCTTGGACCCAATGACAAAAAATTAAATTGCCTCCCCTTCTGTTACAGCTGCTTGTTACAATTGAGTCTGTCTGACCCATATAAAGCGTCACAATTTCAAAGGCTTGCAACTGCCTTGCTTTTGTTGGTCCAATACTGATACTAGCACAATATTCACTAGTGAATTTTACATGCAACAGTTCACATACTGTATGCAAATAGGTTGCTTATATTTTTTTTTAGTTTTTGCTCATTGAAATGTCTCTCCCTAGCAGCAACAGTCACACAGGCAATGTGCAAAATATACATGAAGCAATCCAGACTTCTCAAAAAATGCTATGTTGTTGCATTTTGTTCAAGCTGCAGAATATAACTTGATTAAAAAAGAAAAAAAATTTGTTTTTTTTTTTTTTTTGTTTTGTTTTTTTTCCCCCCCCCATATTTGTTAAAGCTGTCACCATGTCACGACAGATTGCTATGAAACAGAATAAATCTGTGAAGAGATCAATCTCCTCTGGAATGATGCTAACTAGCTTGTCATTGAACACAGTGTTGCTCACCTTTTTCACTGGGACAGGGGGAAGGGGTTATGCTGGTATCGGGGGTTAGAGCTGCTGCTGACCGACTCATCTGTTAAGTGTGGTAAGAGATACAGGTACAAGTTAAATATATAAACAGGTTTTCCCCAGAAAACTTGCTAAGCCTGGTGGTCGGGCTGCCGAGGCGGTTCACCGTGTTTTTGTATTAAAAGATGTTAAGGGGACAGGAAATTTAAAAATATTATATGTTACGGCAAAACATCGCCAGTGAAACACTACTTAAACTAGTCTAAAAAAAAAAAAACTAATTAAAATATAAAATTAAAATTAATATAAATTTTTTGCACTTTTGTTTAATCCAAATTAAGTCAGTAGCTCCATCAGGCCCCCCAGGGCTTCAGGGGCCCCATATATGCTAATATTTTAACACAGACAACAGATACATGGATGTAACACTTGTTTATTGAGATGATCAATGCTGCTAAATTTGATTCAATTTCAGCATACACAAATTAAAAGATTTTAAATTGTTTAACATTTAAATGTAAGATTTTAAGGAGCTGGGAAGTTTACTTTGTAAAAGTTCAAAGAACAATATTCAGTTAGATTCTTTTGTTACCCTAGTTGCAATCTGATGCTGTGAGTTTAATCTTTAAGTTTGAGCTCTGTTCACAAATACAATTTAGTAAACTGCAATTATAACTGATTGCTTTTTAGGTTAGCTAATCAAACTACTC